TTTACATAAGGCTAGTTTCCTAGGTTTATTATATGTTGGGTTTGAATTGACAGTGTCTAAAAGTTCCCAAATTATTCCTAGCTGTCATCCATGTTAGACTAGTGAGACACCTCGATCCTCACCCATTACAGGCTACGAATGAAAATGATTCAATTCGAGTGAAAGTATTTCGCTTGTCATTACGGAGGTTATCACCTCACAAGAGCATAAGTACTTTACTTCCTCCTATAAAAGACGAAGCCCGGGTATAAAGCTCATATATAAGATGCATCGTGCCATTGTGTGCAAATATATCATAATTTATTGAGAGCAATATATACAAAAAAATAAAACATAAGAGGCATAGTAAAAGAAATGTGTGTGAATTTTTTTGCTTTTTATTTTCGATTTGTTTTGTTTTTTTTTTTACCATTTTTATTGAAAATGAAAAATAAAAATTTAAGAAATTGATTAAAATTGTTTAACTCAAAATTTGAGGATAAAATGTAGTTAATTTTGGCATGACTCTAAAAAACAAAAGGCGTCCCCAGTGGAGTCGTTAAGCTGTCATAACGATTTTGTGTCCGTCCGATGAATTTGAAAATGAAATAAAGAAAATAACGGAGTCGCCACCAATCTTTTTTGATTATGTGCGATTGGTCACTTACTAAAACATATCCTTTTGATAGAGTTTTAAAATTAATTAAAATTTATTAAAAAGATAGTTTTACAGTCTGTGAAACAGTATGGGTTCGAGAGTCGATTACGCGTGGGGAAGGATTAGCATCCCCAAAACGTTCGTTAAAAACAGTACCAATTAACAACGTGTTATCCTTTGATTTTGATAAAAATAATCCAATTTTTGATGTTCGAAAAATAATTTTTTTGATTTTTTATTTATTAGAAAAAAAATTTATTCTCGAGAAAAATAAATTAAAACTTTTTTATTGAAATAATTATTAAAATCCAATACGTTTGGTAACATTAGAAGAAATTTTTCTCACCTAGAGATTTCTTAGGCATCGCTTTTCAGAATACCTTAGAATCTCATCCTCGAAGGCTCAAATTTACTTTTCGTAAAAAATTATCATGCATGCAATGTAAAATATTACCATGTTAATGCACACATTTTATTTTCCTTTGTTAAAAATTTTATTAATTATTTTATTAATATTTTTATTTAAAATTTTGAAGAAAAATGAAAATTTCATTATATTGAAGATTTTCTATAAATATTTCAATACACTGGTAATATTTTACAAAAAATCTTCTCACCTAGAGATTTCTTAAAGCATCTCTACTCGAAATACTTTTAGAATCCCATCATCGGATAAATTTTTTTTTCTTCTCATTTTTATTACTTATATTTTTAATATATTAATCAATTTTTATTTATTACTTTAAAAAAAAGAAAATCTTTACCGTATTGAAAATTTTTTTATAAATACTCCAATACACTAGTAGTATTTTAAAAAAAATCTTCTCACCTAAAGATTTCGTAAGCATCACTACTCGGAATACCTTTGAATGTCATCGTCGGATAAAAATTTTATTTTCCTACATTTTTTATTAGTTTAGGATTATTATTACATTTATTTTTATATTATTTTATTTTTAAAGTTTATTTTAAAAATTAATAAAATTATAAAAAAATATAACAACATATTTCATCATTTAATCTAACAAATATAAATATTTTAATATGCATGAATATTAATAAAAATAATATATAAAAAATAAAAAAATAAAAAAAAATTTTACCTGAACCGAATCGATCAACAAACGGTTTGATTAGGTTCAATCAGACCGGTCAGAGGTTGATGAAAGAAGTGGGTCGCAGGTCGGGAGTGCGGACCCCGGGTCGGGTTGCGTGTTGACACGTGGATTCTGGGTGCTTAAAACGACGTCGTTTTAGTTTTCATCGTTTATATAAAAAGTTTAATTTTTTTTCAGTCATTTTTCTTTCTTCTCCAAAAAAAAAAAAAGCCTGATTTTTTTTCTCTCTTTTTTTTTGACCGACCTGGGCCGATGGTCGTCCGTCGCAATTGCCGCTGCAATCCTCGTCGGTGGCGAACTCCGACCACCGTCGACGGTGCCAACAAATTTGAAAAAACTCTCACAAACTCTTCTCGACTCTTTGAACGCAGATCCGACCTCTTTTTCATCAAAAAGGGTCTCCACTTTCCTAGATCTGCTTTCAAAATTTTGGTGAGATTATTTTTTTGTATTATGATCCTTTTTTTTTTAAAACTAACCCTTTTTTTTTCGTGCAGGAAGCTCGACGCTGGGTTCTTCCATATGGGGAGGACTATTTGATTTTTTTTTTGTTTTCGCAAAATCTCCCTCTTTCTTTTTGTTTTTGATTTGGCTAGGAGCTCTATTTATAGAGCTCTGGCCGTGCGTATGCTTGAGAGAAGGGCATGAGGCTCGGCATAGGGTGTAAGCACGAGTCATGTACCTCTTTTATTCGTTTCTGTCTTATTTGACAGTTTATCAATGAGATGAGTAATTAGAGGGGTAAAAGGTAAGGTATAATGATCATAAAGGTAGAATATAGGATCTGGTGGCAGAGGTGCCTTCCCTAGCACCACTGCCATCCTCGATTTTTCTATTCTGTTCATTTTTTTATATATTTTTTTATATTTTGTATTATTTTTAATATTTTTTATTGTATTTCATATTTTATATTTTTTATTACGTATTTTTTTTGAGCAAGTTGATGTCCACATTTATTATTCAATTAAATAAAATGATTGAATTATTAAAATAATTGAATTATTGAAAAAATTAAATATGTTATATGAATAAAATAATTTTATTATTTTAAAAAATAAAAGACAATTTTCAAACGATAAGATTAAATCATTTATTAGAAATTTTAAATAATTAATTTTTTATTTTTTTATTTTTTATCGTACCATCTCATAACCCGAGCCTTAAGAAAAGAATTCAATAATTTATTAATTAATTTAAAAAAATTTTCATTTATATATTGAATAAATTTATTTAAACAGAAATTATTATTATTTAAATAATTATATGATAAATTATAATAATTATTTAATATAAAATTATAATTATTCATACAATTTTTAATAAAAAATATAATTATATTTATATAGTATAAAATTATATACGACCACCTCACTCCCCACTAGGCTCTTGGACATTTGTTGTGAAAAGATAAAAGATGAGAGGTCAGCTTTGGCAGGCAGCGGAATCAAGCATTTGATTTAATTTGATTTGATTGATGTAATCAGCAAAATAATGCAGCTAATTAGGTGAGGAGTGACCAGTAGTTCGGAACATGCATCTTACTATGATCAATGCCTGTCTTTTATGCATCTTGCACTTTTGAAAATCGGATACAAAAGTCGTTGATACGTTGTTTTTTATATTCAAAAGCAAAAAACAGTAAATAAAGTTTTGAAAAGTCTTATAACATGTTAAAAGTGAACAAAAGAAATTGATCTTTTGAATACTTTGGACCGTACGGATGAACAACACTTGTGTGTGAATAGTATCAATTTAATACCTAAAAGAATTGAAGATATGGATCAAAACTATGTATTCATTATTCTGCTTTTTAATTTTTTTTAATGTTTCTTGTTGACTGTAATTGAATTAAAATGGATAAAGCAATAATATTGGATATGAGTTTGGATTTTTAAATTTTTATTTGGTTTGGAATTAATTAATAGTTATATATTAAATATATGTTTTGAACGATCTGTCTTAAAATTTTGCTAGTTGCTTATTTAAAGAATTTTAAAACTACAAGATTAGGTTTTTGTACATTTGAATCACTTGATTTTTTTAGTAAATAAATTTATTTTTAATTTTTTATTAATTAATTTTTGAAAATTTTATTTATATATTAATAAATTTATTTAAACAAAATTATTATTTAAATAATTATATGATAAATTATTATAATTATTTAATATAAAATTATAATCACTTTTATAAATTTTAACGGTTTTAATAAAAAATTATAATTATAGCTATATAATATAAAATTATATAACTATTTCGGTGTTGATCATCCGCACTAGGCTGTTGGACATTTGTTGTGAAAAGATAGAAGACCAGAGGCTAGCTTTGGCAGACAGCAGGCCTAAGGCATTTGATTTGATTTGATTGCTAGAAAGTTACGTGAAAAGTGACAAACAGTTCGGAACGTCCATCTTGCTCTGATCAATTACCAAACTTCTTTTTTTTTTAGTGCTGCCAATATGCACCGTACCTTTTTCTCTTCGCATTTTTAATTTTTTAAAAGTAAAATTACTAATTTTTTAAAAATAAATTTTTAAAAAATTTTAATGATTTTCGAAAATGGACCGTACGGATGAACAATACCTTTGTCTGAATAGCAGCAAACTTAAGCCTAAAAGAATTGAAGATATGGATCAAAACTATGTTTTCAATAATCTGCTTTTTATTATTTTTTAACGTTTCTGGTGACTGTAACATACCAACTAAACAGCACCTACGTTTGGAAGGTACTATGTAACTGAATTAAAATGGATAAAGTAAATACATAGGGTTATGAGTTTGGAATTTTTAAATTTTGTTTGGTTTTGAACCAATTAATAATTATATATTAAATATATGTTTCGAAGGATCCGTGTTAAAATTTTGTTAATCACTTATTCAAAAATTTATAAGGTAAATGATTAGGTTTTTGTACATTTGATTCACTTGCGTTTTTTCAGTAAATAAATTTATTTTTAATTTTTTATTAACTAATTTTTAAATTTATTACTTGTATTTTGAATAAATTTATTAGAATAAAAATTATTATTATTTAAATAATTATATAATAAATTATTATAATTATTTAACATAAAATTGTAATATAATACTATTTAATAACACTGATGTGATAATGAAGTGTGCTAATTTAATATTTGAAATGACCAATAAAAATATTGAGTTGACAAAAAAATTAGAGTAAATTGAGTTAGCTTTTATATGTAAGTATAGTTATTATATAGCAATTGGTGCTATACAGCCTCAAATGATTTCGTGTTTGTGTTTTACCGTGAGGAGGGGAGCTGCTTAACTTTAAGTGAAACCATACTCTTGATTTCCTCCATCTTCTCTTTCACCCTTTTAATTTGGCTATATAAAGCAGTCTAACCCCTTTTTCCTCTTTTGTCTTTCATTTTCATTGTCGTTTGGCTTTTCTGATATGGATGAAAATTTGAGGAGGGCTGCTCAAGAAGGAAATGTTGATGAACTATATGCATCAATCCAAAGAGATTCTAATGTTTTAAGGCATATTGATGAGATGGAGTTTGTTGACACTCCATTACACATAGCTGCAGCTGAAGGATGCATTGATTTTGCAATGGAGATAATGACCTTAAAACCCACATTTGCTAGAAAGCTAAACCAACAAGGCTTTAGTCCCATTCATCTTGCAGTGGAAAAGGGACATAAAGAGCTGGTTCTTCTTCTCTTGGAAAATAATAAAGATCTTGTACGTGTCAAAGGAAAGAAGGGTGAGACTCCATTGCACTATGCAATAACCAGAGAACACGACCTTGATCTCATAGCTAGATTTTTGGAGGTTTGCCCCGAATGCATCCAAGATGTGACAACTACAAATGAAACAGCTTTGCATATTGCAACGAGAAACAATGAGTTAAAAGCTCTCAAACTCCTATGCGGGATGCTTAGGAGGACTGACAATCGTGAGGATGTGGTGAATCAAAAAGACAGGAATGGCGACACTGCCTTGCACATAGCTGCCCGTGATAAGCGACATGAGGTTCTACCCATATGCTCTAATTAATTTTACTTTTGGCAAAAGAAATAGATTCCTTTCAGTTTGTATAATTTCATCAAACTCTTGATTAAACAGATGCTCAAACTGCTATTGCAATGCAAGGCTGACAAACATGCTACCAATCAGGCTGGCTCAACGGCACTGGATGTTGCACAACAACTTAATAACAAAAAAAGCATTGGAATTCTGCGTGGTTGCTTTATTCCAATAGTTTCAACTTTAATTTATAAATTGCAGAAACAAATTTTCAAGTATGTGACGAAGGCATCAGCTGTAATTTTCCAAGATATGGACAATATATCAATTGAGGACCGCAATGCCTTGCTAGTAATTCTAGGATTGCTTTTAACAGCAACCTACCAAGCCAGTCTTAGCCCACCTGGTAGTGTTTGGCAGGGAGACAGTCCCTCAGACTCCACTGCCGATCTAGGAGATGAAGAAAAAGCAGCAGGGAAATCCGTTATGAATGAAATTACTTTTCTTTATTTCTACATTCCAACCTCTGCAGTCTTCATGGTAACGTTTTTCCTGACATTGGGTCTCCTTAAACCTTTTCCTCGTGGTTTCAGGACTGCTCTTCAAATACTCCTTGCATTTCTTGCTATATGCTTCAACGAATCAATCTCTGTCTTGGCGCCAAGTTATTTAGCAACTGCAGTTATCAATCTATTTTCACTTACAATTTTCGTTTTGATGATGTTCATGTGCTTTGCTTATCGGGTGTCAAAAGTTAGTGTTTTAATTCTAGGATGCTGGTTATTCCCCACAAGTCCTCTGTTTAATGGTTTTGTAAGTTATGTAATAATAGGATGTTGGTTATTCGTTTTTCTACGTGATAAATTTTGGAAAGGAACAGCTTAAGTTGTAGGGTATTGTTTACTCATTGGTTTGGGTAGTAGAGTTATATACATCATAGAAAATATTTTGACATATATCCTAGGATGTTGGTTATTCCTTAGTCTCTGTCGATTCTGCATAAAGCGGTGTAATGAACATTATAATACCTGAACAGTCAAAACAATGTACCATGTCCGTGTCCATGTCTCCCACACATGGATATTAGATGCATATCTAGTGATGAAGGATGGTCACCGCAATTTCTTTTAGAACAACAATGGAAATTGCTTCTTTTTTCCTAAGTTGTTCTATTTGTAATATGTCAAACTGTCAATGTATCACTGTTTTTTTTTTCTTTTTGTTTAATTTTTTATCTTTTTGAGTTTATTTCACTTATATATATTTCGTGCATATATAAATAGTGTTATAAAAAAGGTACTACAATTTTCCTTCCATCATTAGTTTTCTCATACTTTTAACTTGTAAAAATGTTAAACAGGCCATTTCGATTGTTGAAGGTAAAGCAATTATATCCTCCACTTTACATTTAATGCTTTAAAAGGTAAAGTTAAAGGTAGACAAAGCAAGTGGTGGAAAATTCAATTTTCGTCTACAAATTAATTCTCATGATTCAAGTCGTTTAACCTTAACCACCCTATCTCACCTCTAAGGAAAATGGTAGTTAACTTACGCACTTCTTGGTTTCTACTTTCTATAAAAAGTTGCATTTTAAATTATTATTATTTGAATTTATATTTTCATTTTAGCATAAACTTTATTTGAAATATACTATTTATTGCTAAGATAAACTTTATTTGTAATCATCAAAAAAGAAAATTGACATTAAAGAAAATTAAAACTGTCAAATAGATAAAGAAAAAGAGGAACCCTGCTAATCAAAAGCATAAATTTTTTATTAGCAGTGGGTTTAACTTAAACGGTTCACTCATTTTATTAAAAAGTAAATTCTTATAAAATTAGGTTTTGATTCCTAACATTTGCTATATATTTCCTTTCTTCAATCTCTTTGGTTTCCATTTTTTTTTGGTAAAAAAACAAAATTATTTGTTTGGTGCAAGAGATTATGTGATGTGTTCTCATTTATTTCTTTTTATTATTATTATTGTAGTTGTAATAATTTGTTAAAATACTTCCATTACCAAATAAGCAACTGAATTTGAATAAAAAATATCATAAGATTTGTTTACAAGAACAAATATTAAGTAGCTTTCAATGGACAAGATTGAGAGAGGTCAACAGTTGCATGATTTATTATGATAAAATGTTGGATTTTTAATTTAAGTGATTAGGTGTGGAGATTCGTAATTAACTTGAGAGATATTATCAATTTTAATTCAAAAATTTTACGATTTTATTTCATAAAAAATATTTTACAAGTATAAATTTAAGTTTCTAGTTATATATTATATCATATTTTCAAACCATTTCGATATGAAATTGGGGTGTTACAAACTTTCGTCTATTAAAATTTGACTTTATTGTCAAGCCCAACACAAGACACATATAAAATTATATAATCAAAAATCACACTAAACGTTAGAATTTTAAAAAATGGCTCTCCCTATGTAGTACTTAATTTTTATTTAATTAGTAACTAGTTCTAGTCTCATTTTTTGAGATTCACACTCAATTTGTGATATATTATTTGTTTTAATTCGAAATTCTTATAATTTTATCTTATAAAAAATATCTTATAAATTATAAATTTAAATCTTTAATTATATATTATAACAATTTTAATATGAGATTAAGCGTCACATTAGCATTTGAGATCTGATAATATGTAAAAAGATAGTGAGAGAGTGGGATTGAGAAAAGGTACAGTTTATTGAAGAAAGCCTTAAAAGGTAGAGGAGATACGATGGATAAGTGTGTGCGCTTTTTCTAAAGAAAGTGAGTTGGGAAAAAAAGGGTGATGCTGAGCACAATAGCAAGAAAATTAAGTTCAGAATCCCAATATCCTTACGACAACATCTAGCACGACCTTACCATTGCCAACAGCAAGCCATGCTGTGAGCACAAAACAAACTTTTCTTTCATCTTATAATAAACCTACAAATAAATTTAATAATCTATTTATAATCGTCATGTACATAAAATTTTAAGTCAATTTGAACATATCAAGTGTTGATCAAGAAAACTAGATTTTTTTTCTTATATTTGTAACGATTTGAAACTTTTATTGATGTCAACAATATAACAATCTAAAATGAATGATTAATCCAACAATTAGATTAACAAAATATAAAAAAATTATATATAAACTTTAATTATTTTTATACTGTATAGTGTAAGGGAATCTTTACTCAAATCATTAATCCTATAACTATTTGGTACAGATTTTTAGTAAAGGTTTGCTTTTCTTTTTTTTTTTTTTAATTTTGAGATTTATAGTTTTGTTAAAAGAAGGTTATTTTACTTACATAATGGCAAAGTTGGTCTCTTTGGCTAAAAAATTATATATAGAAATGCAAAATGCAATTTCCCTTATACATGTAACTATTTAATGTAGATTTTTAGTAAAGGTTTGCATTTGGAGGAAAAAATGTAGATTGGTTTGGAAATGTTATATATAAATGTTTTTTTTTGGTGATATGATCAGCACTGCAATATCATCATGATTTTTCAATATTTTGAAGAGGCTAATACATGTTGGGCGCTTATTAGGGTTTGGAATTGAAAATAGATGTTCAGCTTAAATCGTTTTTGTTTTTTTAAATTACTTTTACATTAATACTCACCTTTTCTACTAAAATGGTATTAGAAAGTGCTATTAACAAGCTCTAAACCATTGTACCAAAAGAATACAAAGTAAAGACATAGTATGAACCTAAGCCAGCCACTACAAGAAATAGTATTTTTAGTAGAGAAAAAAATTATTATTAAAAATATAAAATTTAGTCACTAAAATTTATAGGGACCAATTTTAATGTCATCACCTGTCATCATAAATAACTTTGCAGTATTGTATTGTGATGATATTTATTTAGTTGCCACAATAGTTCTTTTTTTTTTTACACAAATTTTGATACTAAAAGCTTTAGAATATATGACTAAAATAAGTTGTCACAATATCTTATTTTATTGTAACAATTTTTTTGACTCTAAAAAAGTTAAAATAGTGACAAAAAAAGTTGTCACAATAATATAATTTTCTTGTGACGATAATATCGACTCTAAAAATATTGCAATAGTTAGAAAAACTATAGTCACTCATTTTATTTTTATTAATGACAAAATTTACCTCATTAGTATTCATTGAAATAACATCGATTGAATTATGTCACAAATATTTAAATTATTTCTTGCGATAATTGTTGTTACTAATAAATTAGTTATTGTCACAACAAAATTTGTCAATTTATAAAAAGACTAACATTAGTGACTATAAAAAATAAATTGTCACAAAAAATTGCTCTCGTAATTGCAAAATAATGGTAACTAAAAAGTTGTTTCAAAATAAAATATGATTATAGTGATATAAAAATGTAGTCATCTCATTTATTTTAAAAATAAAAGAAAATGATAGCAATACTTATAAATAAAATACCAATATATATATATATATCATGTTTTTAATTTCCTAAATTCAATCTTAAAAGTAATAATCAAAATACAATTATCAATAAAGCAATATTAGTATTTTTCTACAAAAAACTAAATATTTACTAAAAAAAATTAGTCCACAATATGATAATCTCCAAGTGAAAATCCAAGCTAGAAGTCCATAGTTGATCCCACTAAAATTTACTTTTCATTTATTTTCCTACAAAACAAAAAAAGAAAAAAGAAAAAAATAAGTCAACGGATGGTAAAAATTATCTTATATAATTGTTATTTAACATTAATTATTTAACTATTGTATTTACTTCATTACTTCGAGAATTTAATGTAGATGCATTGGATATCATACTAATAATTAATCCTTCACCTGCTAAACGTGCAAATACATCTTTCATTTGTTTCAATTTTATTGTTTATTTCTCAATAGCCTTATCTCAAGTCATAAGTTTTTCACGTTGAGTTATAATTATAAATAAGGATATTAAAGATAAATTTATTATTTGTAAACCAAGCAAGTAAAGAATAAATAGAAACTATTTCTATACAAATAATCCAAAATAATGAAGTAACATAAACTCAAAATAAAGATTTCAAATTCTTATTTGGCCCTTAAACCATCTCTTGCAACATAGTGAATACACACCTACTTATATTTTAATTATTTAATAATTAAAAACTCATATTTTTAAATAATAAAAAATAAAAAATTACAATTCTGTAAAAAAAAATTTACCATTTGTTTAAATAAATGTAAAACGAAAGTATAACTATTTTAATAATATTTGAAACAAGATTTTTAGGTACAAAATTACCTCAGAACTTTAACAAGAGTACATGTGAGGTTTAATTGCAATAAAATTTGTTTCCTCAATCCTAGTCGCTGCTTGGGAGGCCCGTAAAATCCGTTCATCATCGGATCTTCTACCTTGATCCAGATTAAAATGTTATCGAGTCTGATTGTTAGAATGGTGATCGCTTACGACTTCGATTGATGATGATTCTTCAAGTAGTATGCCGTAGCAATTGTCTAATATTTCCCCTAATGATAGGTTCAAAAAGACAATTACATATTGAGAGAAAGTTGAGCTTTTGGGGCCTGGATCATTTGGATCGGTTTTTGAAGGGATTTTTGAATAATTTAACTTTTTTGTAAGTAAAATTAATCAATAAATAACCCCTTTATTTACATAGTGAACCTTTGATCTTATGAAAATTAATAAAACCTATGTGCTTTGGATAGTTTGGTTGTGGATTATATTGTTTCATATTTATAATTGTATAATTGCATTTAAAATAAATAGGAGTTTATATTTATTAATCAAACTATTTTTTATATTTTATCCTTTGTTTTAATATTTAAAATTATTGTTGCATTTATAGATGTAAACATTTATCGATTATTAATTTGTTGTTATTATTATCCATTTATAGATTTATAGATTATTAATAGATTATTTTTATTAAACATTTATAGATTATTATTATTATTATTATTATTATTATTATTATCCATTTATGAACACAACCATCAATTAATTAATTATTTTTATTAGACTCCTATAATATCTGTAGACACCCCATTTTGTTCGGGGTCCTTTGTCAATTAAAATCGGTCCAAGCTTGATTATAAATTTTTTATTTATTTTTTATTTCATATTTTTATTTCATATTTATCATTTTTAATTTTTATCTTATTATCTATTTATTATTTATTTTCTTTTTCTATTTTCATTATTTGATTTTGAGATTAGGTTTGATGATGATCAGAAAGTATAATTAGTTGTTAATCTTTAGCATTGGATGACTAAGTGGAGGATGACTAAGTGGAA